ATAAGAGAGGCTGGCTCAGGGAGGAATTCTGCACACAGGGCTCTGTCTTCCACTGCGCCCGACAGCCTATCGCCACACAATTCACATTCCCTTTCCTTTTTTTTTCTTGCTAAGCAAGGGTAACATCCACACCGATAGTCAGGGGTCATTTCAGAAAGGGAGTACAGAGGGGCACAGGGACCAGGAGGGCCCTCTAGAGATGGACTGACAAGTGGCTGCATCAGCGGACTCAGGCTGAGGAACAGTTGTCAGGCTAGCCCAGGACCAGGTAGGGTTTCATTCTGTTGTGCGTAGGGTCACTATGGGTCGGACCCGACTCCATGGCACCCAGCAACAACAACTTCAGCTGCGAGGGTTGCAGGGGTCCCGGATGCTTGCTCTCCATGCAGGACACCCCAGTTCACCTCTCAACCAATGCATCTCAATGCAGCCACCACCTGCATGCCAAGGCTGGGGCATTGCTACGTTGCTGAAGAGGTTTCAGTCGGAGATACGCCCAGAAGAAAGACCTGCCAATCTACTCCCAAACTCAGCTAATGGACACAGGACAGATTCATGTGCTGTGCATCAGCTGGTGTCCCCTGCGCTGAGGGCCATGAAGCCACGTGGTGTGGCCGAGAGGGACTGGGGTGGGGATGGGGGGTGAGATGGGGTGGAAGGCAGCTCTGAGAAGGTGACGTCCACTGGAAAGGAGACCTGGACGTGACATCTGGAGCAAAAGTCACCAGGAAAGGGGGGCAGCAGCCAGAAAGCCTTACAATTGAAGTGCTTCACTTGGTAGTCTTGTTAGTTTGGGTATTTTTAAAAATATATATATTTTCCTGTATATAAACTCTGAGATAGGTAAATCTAGAGACAGTAACTGGATGGATGGTTCCTTGGGGGTACGACAGGGAACACTGGGGAGAAATGAGGAGTTGCTAGCGGTGAGTGCAAGAATGAAGACAATGTTCTAAAGCTGGTTGTGGTGATGATGGTACAACCCTTCTTCGTGTGATTGAACGATCGAATTGTTTGCAATGTGAACTATATGCCGATACAACTGCGGGCCAAAAAAGAAAAGAAATCAACACCAGACATGGAGGGAGTAAACAGTCGTTGAAAATACAGGACATACAGAAAGAAGGACTGGGCAGAGCAGGGAGTGGGGTTGGGCGGGGTGGGGGTGGGGGCAGTGCTAAGAAAGTAGGCCAAGGCCCTGGGCTCGGTGGAGGCTGAGGAGCTTCCTCGCCCAACATGTTCAGGGCGGTGGAAGCAGATGGGATTAGGAGGAGCATTCAATCTCAGAGATTTGCTGACCGTGTGTGGCGCCCTGGTGGCTGTGGATTAGGCAGTGGACCAATCATCGAGTGACCTGTAGTCAAAGACGAAAGAGGAAGTCGTCTGGTCCCATCGAGACCTGCAGTTGCAACGATCGCTTTTGGAGGCCCCATGAGTGTAAGTTGGCTCCAAGGCAGTGGGCTTAGTTGTGGGTTTGTCAACTGTGTTGTGGACACCCTCCAAAAGGAGTGGGCGGGTCAGGTTGAGGAAGAAGGTGCCTCACGAGGCTCTGGCTACATTGTGCTCCCTCCCACTCAGGACCTGGCAGAGGGCCAGGCCCAAAGCCCACGGGGCCCCCGGTGCCTGGACAGCATTGATCTGGATGGTGACCCTCCCTTCCCTTTAGTCAGTGTGCCTCATGCAAGGTTAGGCATGGACCAGCCCAGCCAGCCAGAGGAAGGCTTGAAGGAAGGCAAAGGCAGGATTTTTCAATCATTAGCATTAATTTTTAATTATATATGAGCTCACAAATATATTTTTCATGGAATGAGTTAAAACAGAATCCCTCAGGCTAACGGTCCCTTAGGCCCTCCTCTTCTAATGCCAGTACGATTATTATCAGTTAGCCAAAGCCTTTCTTTCCAGACTTTGTTTAGGCCTTGGCGTACATATGCAGCCACCTCTTAAAAAGACAGTGTCATCATTATGGGTTTGTTTGGCTAAACCGTCGCCCATGGTGTGGGATAGGGCTGCAGCTTGAGTTTGCCTGCACCAGGCGGTAGCTGCTGCGTATGCGTCCAGGTGATGGCGTCAGCCCTACTTGTCTGCATTATTGCAATTGTTTGGATGGCTCCCAGTGCCCCTTCTAAGACGAACCTAGCCCCCGTGATGTGGCCCCTCTGTACTCGCTCACTGCTCTGAGGGCTCCTCTGGGCAGTGAAGGGCTCCGCTCTTCGATGCAGTGTCCAATCACGGGGCAGTTGACCTAACCATGGGGTCTCTAAGCACCGGGTGACTGTTCATACCCGGGCTCAGCAACCTTTTGAGACAGAAGAGCCGATCCTGTCCCTCACAACAAGTTAATTGAGGTCCATACATATATTTTTACAAACAAATGAAATCACCATGATCTGAATCATATCCCTGAAGATCTTTCCATTTTAGAGGAGCTGGCCCTGCTCGTCACTGCCCTCACCCTCCCTGCGCCGCACGGTGTCGGCCAATTCCCGCATCCTCGGGGCTCCATAGGAGGAGGAACTGGCTCTCTGTGGCCTCTAAGAACTCTCCTGGCTCTAGCAGCCCACCGCTCTGCGATCCCGGGTAGTGACCCTGTGGGGTTTTCTCATCAGAGGTTTGATGGCAGGGGTTCAGAGGTCAGACAGCACTGTCAAGAGGCCTGAGACTTTCATCATCTCAAGATAAGGATGCGCTGTCCCCAACAGCGGATGCCGTTTCATGGTTTTCCTGCGAAGTGGCTTCAGCGCAGGTGGCTGCTGGTTTCTCCTCACCCTGTTCTATGGCCTTCTTGGATGTCCGGAGAAAGGACGCCAACCTCCGCGAGCTCG